GGAGGCCTCTGGGTCACACTCTTCAACAGCAGATGATGGGTATGAAAGGATTATATTGCTTGGTGAAGTCTGAAGAGGGTTACTTGTCAGTCAAGAGAGCTGAGACATGTATTTGCATGCCTAACAATGGAACTATGAGTGAAAGACTGAATAAAACTATCAGTTTTTTTTTAAAAAAATGACTGTTAACATCAGGTTGAAGTTCTGGTTAGGAGTCCTCCAACTGGCACGGTGGCACCGGCACAGGGAGAACTCCGTGCCCCTGCTATGACAGCTGGCTGCAGAAGTCAAAGCAATGAAATGGGAAAGCTGAGTTACTCCAGTCTCTGGGAAGTCAAACCAGGACAGTAATCCACCATCGTTCAAAAAACGATGCTTGCCAATGGCCATCCTGCAACCATGGTTGTGTTGCACGTTTGGAGTCAGGCTGTGATTTCTGCATTATACTACAGACTTCAAACAGGAGGACAGATGAATTCTGGAGAGGAGGAACTCCATTCTCCTTTGGGGACGTAACAGCACCTAGTGCTACAGTCCGTGTTCAGGTGTTAGTCAAGCAAAACTCACAGACTAAATACAATAAATAATTTAAAACACACTAGAGTAGCTCAGAAATAACATATATGGGAGAAGTAGGAAGGGCATTTCAGGTGGGATCCAACACATCATTTTTATGGAGCTCTATTTCGTTGCTGCATAACATCAAAGAAAGCCTCCTGGGCTGCTCCTGGCTTCCCCTCCCTCCCCTACCACTGGGAAAAAAAAAATAAAAATCACATGCTAATAGAAAGACAGAAAAATCCAATAAAATTCCTTTGCCTCTCGTGATCTAATACAAGCTGGTTTCATATAGAAAATACTATTATCAAAGCAACCAACTTCACTCCCATATAGAGAAAATAATACCAGTCGGTAACAGCCTACACCTGTAGCATTCAGTGTTACAACCTCTGCATTAAAGAGAGAGGAGTATGTCAGGAAAAGTAAGAATCATCTGAGTTTTTCACAAAAACCACTAGGCAGCTTTGTCAGATGTATTGGCATTTATATGTTTCTTATTCAACATGCTTTTTTGTTTAAGAGACATTAAGTACCGGATACGGTAGATGGTACAAAGTTCTACCCTATATTCTAAAGACAATTTGGTTCCTCAGTTAGTGTTGGTTTTACTATTTCATGTCAGCCAAGATTCGTCATGCTGTACAGATGTCTTCCTATGTTGATGACATCTAAATTTAGAGGGTGCAGATAAGTATTGTTAGCAGTAAGAAGCGGTGACAACAAGGGGCAAGAACACCACCTTTACTCTGCAACAGGAACCCATAAACTATGGATGCTGATGCTGTAAATAAAATCGATGGCCCCACTTTATCTCCGAATGAACCTCCAAAACAGGAGGTGCTAGACAGAGCATAGCCCCATCTCAAATAATTATTTTGTTAATGATCCGAGATGAAAAACGCTTTTTTTTTTTGGCTGATAACTTGCACATTAGCATAGGGAAGACTCAGAGCTTCCTTGGAAGCATACTATTTCTGGCTTAGTCAAAAATAAGCAGTATTGGTTTCAGTAAGTGTTGAAAATACTTCAAAAAGAATTGCTGAGCGAGCCTGGGTCACCTGGACCAGACATCCTGCTTCGCTGTAACACAGTCTATTTAGAGCTGCCTCAGAAGGTCACTCATACTTCCACTAGTGCAATACATCACTGCCTTATAAATGGGAGAGAGTGATATCAGCAAGTAAAATTGGTGCCTTGTCATGCCCTGGCACTGGCTTTCTGCTCCCAGGTGCAAGGTGTGATGTTAGGTTTAAATTTAAAGGATCTGAGTGAGTAAACCTACCTCTGCAATCACAAGTGAAATACATTGATATAGAAGCATCAAGCCCTGGACCTTTAACTAAGAAAACACACAACTGCACTGAATGTCACAGCATTGAGGCATTTCAGGGCCTCAACAGTAACAACTAAAATGCAAATGATTTCAGCCATCACGAATTGCATTACATTAAAAAAACACCTTTCAGAATTTCGGTTTTACAGAAGGTCAAAATTAATGAATCCTGTCAAGATTTTTTTTAAACTAAAATCTTCAGACACTTTCAAGGTATGTCATTACACATTTCACAATTCATAACTCAAAACTTGGAAATGAGAATAGTGTGTCTTTATTGATAGTCTAACACAAATTAATGTATAAACTTAGTTAGCCAAAAATGTATCTTCTATGTGGGAAGATCCTGAACATTGCAAGCCTATCTGCAAAAAGTGGATGCTTTCTCATAGTAGATAGCAGATGCTGTTACCGGCTCTCACCGTAGTGCCATATTCAATTATTGTTTTGCACAGACTGTATGAGGCTCAGTAGAGTCACTGTCTCTGCATTACTGCAAACACACAGAGACATATACGTTAATGTTAAGTCTTCAGTGGGACTCCTTTGTCTCTTAGGTGAGCTTGTACACAATGTTTGCAGGACTGGAGCTTATGACTACAAAAGCTGTGACAAGGGGGACGAGAACAGACATACCACAACAGGAATTCCAACAATTCAATGAATCCATCTTACTGAAGGAAATCAGTATCTTTACATACTACTGAACGTTAAAAACAAAGAAAGATGTTTAAGCACAAAGTATATATTTATACCAAATGAAACAACTGAAAAAGTATTACATAAAGAAAAATAATGTAACAGAACATACTTAAGTACCTAACTTACAGTCATGCTCATATCTAAAAGTAACATTGGTAACTAATATATGTAATTTTTGACAAGGGTGCATTTAAGAGTTCTCTAACATACAACATTCTAAACGTGGAGAGTATTTTTTCCAAGATACAGAAAACAAATTATTTTACACAGGCACACCTGTTAATTTGTATAAAAAAACATGCTTGTAAGTGAAAAGGTCACTTTAGTACTAAATTATCAGATGTGTAAAAGCTATGTAGTGTTAATCACGTTGAAATTGTCTCTTCTCCTTTTGCATTGGTGAGCGCCAACACTGAATGGTACAGTATTTGATCCATATGGTTCACTGACACTGCAACCTGTTTCCAAGCAGTAACCCTGCCCAGGTGTTGAACAGCACAGTACTGTACAGCCCCATCTGTCTGCATGTAGTGTATTTATAACTAAAAGCTATTACAATTATTACAATGATTTCTGTTTCAATATATACATCAGTATAAAATACTACGCAAAACACTTTCGCATTTCAAACAATTTTAACCACTTCATCAAACAATGCATTCGCAGAATTAAAAAAAAAATCCAAATTAATGTTGATTGCCAACAGTACAGCATCTCTATGGTATGTTTCCTAATAAATGAGAGAACGGAAATGTATTAAAATCAATTAAAATAAGTATCACAAAACAGAATTAGTGTTAGAGCAGTTCAAGGATTCCCAGTTTGTCAGTATCTACCCTAAGCAGTGCTACCCAAATACAGTATAAGCCATTTAGTGTTTCTACAATGAGAAGAAAACATTCAAATATTAAAGCTGTGACAAACACACAAAAGCAAGGAAAGAAAATTTGTTCTGTACTCATCCCTGTTGTAGCAAGGTACAGCATATCAGGAGTTTGCACTCAGTGCATCGTATGTGCTGTTATACCTGGATACAACTGTGGAAGACAACTGAAATGGAATAAACTCTGAATTTCCTCGCTGTTGTGCTTTTATGTCAGACCATTCAAGTTATAACAGCTTAGTGTCTTTTTTTTCCTGAAGGGAAGAAGAGAGAAGAATTCATAATGAAATTGTAAAAATGCTACTAAAATCCCTATCTTGGACACAATATACTGCTTTAGGAGCTACTGTGTCATTGCACAATATAAGTGGCCTATTAATCGCTGAATTATTGGTGTAGCAGAATATATTTATTATTATGGATGTGTTTTGAAAATTTGTATTTTAAAACCTGCCTGTATTCCATAACAAGCCACAAATAAATTTTGTGTATTTCAAACACTAATATCCTTACATAAAGTAGTAAATGTACATTTATAGTGGCAAATTTCAAATCTCTGCCTCTGCTGCTTCAGTCTTTAAAATGAGACTTGGTTCAGAATTTTAATTCGTTACATTATCCTAAACCAGAACTATTTCTGAAGCACAAAAGAATCCAAAAGATAACAATAATATGGGGTGTTTTTTTGTTTTGCTTTGCTGATTCACTCCTAACTTTAAAAATAATCAATGTCTTTAAAAAAAACACAAAACAAAAACCCCCCAAAAATCTCTCCCCAGGAGAAGTCCCTGCTAGCTGAGATTTTTTTCAAAACCAAGTTTCACGCTTACAGTATCTTTATAGTCATGTTACACACCCTTGAAAATAAAGGCTCATGTTGAGAATGGTGACAGGCCCTTAATTATATAGGTGTTAACTGGTGACACTATTTTTCATCAGAAAAAAAAGCCCCGCAAAACTTCATAGCTTATACTGAAAGTTTGATTCATGCTCATTTTGTTCATTTAAAAATACTCTTTGGAAACTGTGTCAACTCCTGCAGACAACTTAGTGATACATCTTTTCCTGTTAAAATAAAGATAATTCATATTCACCTCTACCCCATGCTAAGCTCTACTACTAATATACACTTCATTACCTGCTCATGTCACCATCTAACACGTATCTTTACATTCTTCTACATATAGTGTCCAGGGCTTATTTTTCACCAAACAGAATTTGATAACTATTACACTTAGAGTTTTTCTTGAGGATTTTTTTTTTTGGTGTTCTAGCCTTTTCATTGCAACTTACGAGTGATATTACTAGCTCAGACTTTTTCCATGCTAACTTAAAAGGAACTTTTCATAGTTTTTTCCCATTAAGGATTTTAAAATCTAAACTCGCTTAAATATCAAAACTGAAAACCAGAAGAGAGATTAGATGCATCTGTCATTTTAAAATGGTTTCTGCTACTTTAAAATGCATTTTAAAACTGTACATATGACTCTTAGGATTCTAATTTTTACATTGTTGCAATCAGATTCTAATTCAAAATCTTGCAAATAAACATGAAAAATAAGCCACTGGTCATGAATTCTAATGATTACATTCAAAGCTAGCCTTTAAAAAAATAAAAAAGTTACAGGCAAAACATACTGGTTTATGTACTCACTAGCTTATCAGGCTACAATAGGCATGTTTTAAGTATAAAAAAAGCAGACAATTCAGATTTAAATAAGACTATGTGAAATCAGAAAAAAACCTTAGATTTCACTATTTAAAAAAAAAAAGAACACCTATAATTACTTCCCATCCTACAGCTACAGTTAAACCAACTAACAAAAATAATCAAACTATTTTTGACAAACAAAAGTTAGGCTAGAATATGTGGCAACAAAGTTCATATATGTTTCTATGTAAAATGACTCATGATTTACTATAACATAAAATATGAACAAGAGCACTTTGTGACTAATGAAAGAGCTACTAGTAGAAACACTTAATGCCAAACAGTCTTCAGCCCTCCTTTAAGTCATATCTCCAAATCAGTATTGACTTCTTTTGACCAGATACATCATTTTTGGCTTGTCACCCCAGTATGTCATGTTTTACCACTTGCCACAGGCAGCAGGAGACAACTAGCTGAGCAAACTACAAGCAGTGACATGCAGAAATTAACTCTCAAATCTGAGTACTTAGATAAAATGATATGCAAGCGCACACTAGGACAAAAGGAATGGCATTCGTCATCCAAATAGGCTCATCATCCCTCCCCACCCCCCTTGAACAGTAGTTGCAACAGCAATAGAAAAAGATCAAGAAGATGTCTGTTCTTCAGAGTCAACTGTGGAAAAAAGTCAGCAATATATAACAGCAGCGATGGACAAGGAAGAGCAAACTGAAAGAATCTTGTTGAGTATTTGTTCATTTACTTTTTCTGAACACAAGCCAAAGTGTGCCACGTTGGCTTGTTCTGAACTTCAGATACAGATGTCCTATTCTCCTTAGATCCTTCACAGATTTAGAATTCAGTCTCCCTGAGGCCCCTATAACCAAGTAAGAAAACTCTCTTTATCTAGCTTGGTGGCTGCCAAGACAGATTCCATGTCATTAAGGATGTCAGAGCTCAAAGCCTCTTGCAGACTTGGCATCAGTTCTTCTCCTTCTATATTCATCCCATCTCCTTCCAGTGTCCCAAGGTCCACATTTGTCCCTGGAATGGCTTCAAGGTAGTCTGGGAAACGGTTCTGATGGGACGGCATGTTACTTTGGCTGATACTGTCACCTAGTTATAACACAAAGAAGGATGGATATTAAACATACGGGAAGCACCAAACCCATAATTTATCAGGACAAAAGGTTAAAAGTAATCCTGTATCTCTTGCATCATACAAGCTATATGATTCATAGAAATCTATCACAATAACCAAAGATGACTTGGCTGCATGCAGATGTACAAAGAACATGCCTTTGTTCAACCTTTTCACCTACTGACCCAAATCTCTACAGAACTTTGACGTCATTTAGCATGTTTGCATTTTTACAGTTAAAGGAAAAAGACAATACTGGGTCAGGTACTGTTTTGAAGCACTATTAGCAACACTGGATGAGGTACTATCTTAGCTCTGAACAAACAATATTACCTAAAAAAGCAAATGGACACTCTACTTCCACATAACAAGAGTGATACTATTTATTAGCAATCCCCCATCCTGCCAAAAGAGTTGATTACAAGTATGTTTTTCACAAATTTAACTATAATATTTCTATTACAGAAATAGAAGATGGTAGAAAAGCAATGCAAGAAGTACCACAGCTTCTCAGAGTTGCTTGTTTTCATTGCAAAAGGACAGAAGTGTATTTGGAAAACATGCATTAAGGATGTACACAAAAACAGACCTGTATCCATCTCATCAACACTGTTCAGGAAGTCATCGGGGGTTCTGGGTACGCTATAACTGCTCATGCTGAGTCCGCTATCTGTGCTTTCATCTCTGGAGTGATATGTGCCACTGTAACAGAAGAAAGGAAGCAAAAAAATGAAGGTAGAGTACTGAAGAAATTAAAATCGGGCTACAAAGATGATTAGGGGATTGGAACATCTCTCATATGAGGAAAGGCTGAGGAACTTGGGTCTCTAAAGAGAAAAGAGTCTCTGAAGAGAAAAGTCTAGAGAAAAGAAGATTGAGGGGGGATCTTATTAATACTTACAAACACTTAAAGGGAGGATGCCAGGGGGATGGGAGCAGTCTTTTTTCAGTGGTGCCCAGTGATAGGACGAGGGGTAATGAGCACAAGCTTGAACATAGGAAGTTCAATCTTAACATGAGGAGGAACTTCTTTACTTTGAGGGTAGTGGAGCACTGGCACAGGCTGCCCAGAGAGGTTGTGGAGTCTCCCACTCTGGAGACATTCAAAACCCGCCTGGACGCCGTCCTGTGCAACCTGTTGTAGGTGACCCTGCTCTAGCGGGGGGGTTGGACTAGATGATCTCCAGAGGTCCCTTCCAACCCTGACCATTCTGTGATTCTGTGAAAATAAATGCTTGTTTTTGAACCAATTCAAGGGCTTTGAAAACATTGCTGTCATGAGAAGTGCTCTATTCTCAGCAAAAACTGAAGCTTTTGTCTGTGTCAAACACCTGGGGTTTATTTTATGTAGATCTTTTCCAATTAAAACCGTATTATTTAGATTCAATTTAACTTGATGAGAGCATACTTGAACAGTTTTAAAAAAACTGCCTACCTCTGTTCTGCATAGTTTTAAACTTTTCACACCCACACACAGCTAAAAACCATTGGAAGCATATCACAGATAGTCCATGGTGATGATGATGATAATGGTGTACCCTTTCACACTTCCACAAGGATAAAAAAAGTACTTCTAACTCCTAATGTGCCCATGTTTTATCAACCACTGAAGTGTATTTTTAGGTCATTGGTGTTATAAATAGAAGCTATAGTTGGAACTCCTTTAGCGATTCTTCAACTGCTTCCCACTGTTGCATTACTACTAATTCAGTCACACATGTCATGGCAAGAGATTGCCCTAATATAAATCAAATACTGGTACAGAAGCCATTCTGTAAACAAACCCCGTTCAGAATAGCCGTGTTGACAGAACAGCTAACAAAACAGTGATGGCACGGGGCCTTACATGCATTCACTTTTGTATTGCCATCTTAATGCCAGTGGAGCGAGCAAGACCAAGAAAGCTGCAGTGGGAAATTTGGGATGAGGTGGGGGTAGGGGGTATTCAGTTTACATTGCAAGGTTTTCGTAGCAGGGGGGCTGCAGGGATGCCTCTGTGAGAAGACACCAGGAGATGACCCCACATCAGACACAGCTGGTTCCAGCTGGCTCCAAAACAGTCCTGCTGCTGCCCAAAGTTGAGCCCATCAGTGACAGCGGTGGTGTCTCTGACAACACATTTAAGGAAGGGTAGAAAACCACTGTGCAGCAGCTAGGAGATAGGAGTGAGAAAATGTGACAGAAACAGCCCTGCAGACCCTCAAGTCAGTCAAGAAGGAGGGGGAGGAGGTGCTCCAGGCACCAAGAGCAGAGATTCCCCTGCAGCCTGTGGAGATCATGGTGACACAGTTTGTCTCCCTGCAGCCCACGGAGAACCATGCTGGAGCAGATATCCACCCTGCAGCCCGTGGAAGACCCTGCGCTGCAGCAGGTGGACATGTCCTGAAGGGAGCTGCAGTCCATGGAGAGCCCATTCTGGAGCAGGTTCCTGGCAGAAACTGTGACCCATGGAGAAGAGCCCAAGAAAGAGCAGGTTTTCTGGCATAAACTGCGGCCTGCATAAGCAGCTGTATCTCCTAATATCCAAGCTTCACAAAATACTTTCAAAATCTGTATTTCTTCAGGTTGTGGTAGCATTCACTGAGAATCCTTACCGATTTTCCAGCTTGAAGATGAATTTGACATACTGTTCAAATTAGTGTTTGAAGACATACTGATCCTTCTCATAATTTGTTTATGAAATATATAGTGTATGCCTTTTTCTCAAGTATGAAGCACCAAACAGATGATGGTCATTGAACAGCTATTCAACATTGGATGCAAGTAGAATGCCATCAGCCATGAATATAGATATATGTGTGTGCATATATATGTAGAAGATTTCACAAAGACATCTTTGCCACACAAGAAATAAACCTAACATTTCTTTATAGTTAAGTAGTAAGTATTTATTTATTTTTTAAGAGTGATTTAAAAATAATATCACCATGCATTTGATAACAATCCTATTTACGCTATTTAAAACTTCTGTAAAAAAAAAAATGCTGTCTTACTTTGTGGCACAAAATACTAAAAACAGAAGAGACTATGCTGAACTAAATCACTACAGTTGAGAAGGCTTTTTGGCTGCTGCTCTCACACTTGGAATGTTCAGCTCTTCTCTTCAAATCACTCTGTAATATACATTTCCTCTTTCTTCAACACGAATTTCTTCATTTAGTAGTCACACCACCCAAAATTACCACATGCAACTAAATTGCATTACCCAAAATAGAGTGGATGCTTCTTCAACTAATACTTGTTAAAATATGTGTATACAGAAGAAAAAAATCCCAATTTAGGAGTTAAACTGAGAATTACCGTCACTACCAATATAAATCTAACAGACAAAAATATATAAACAGAGCAGCAAACCAAGAATCTGCCGTGCTGGATGTCCCGTTCAAAAAATAAAATCTACCACAATGACAGTAAGTACTGAAGACAGCAGGCAGAAGATTGACTACATAAATAAAACACACTACTGTGCATTTTCTCAAATTGCTCCAATGTAGCAATTAATTTCTAAGATTTTTTGGATGTTCTGATTACATAGGCAGTGGAAATTACTCAACTGCCTAAACTTTGGATATCCAACTTTGGTACATCAAATTAGGAGGATTGTCTCGCCAGGAACTTATATAGAACCATATAACAGTTAAGGTTGGAAGGGACCTTGAAGATCATCTCGTTCCAACCCCCCTGCCACGGGCAGGGACACCACCCACTACACCAGGTTGCTCAAAGCCCCATCCAGCCTGGCCTTGAACACCTCCAGGGATGGGGCACCCACAACTTCCCTGGGCAATTTATTCGAGTGCCTCACCACCCTCAAAGTGAAAAATTTCTTCCTAATATCTATACTAAATCTACCCTCTTCCAGTTTGAAGTCATTACACCTCGTCCTATCACTACATGCCCTTGTAAAAAAGTACCTCCTCATCTTTCCTGTAGGCCTCCTTGAGATACTGGAAGGCTGCTGTAAGGTGTCCCCAGAGCCTTCTCTTCTCCAGGCTGAACAACCTCAACTCTCTCAGCCTGTCTTCATAGTGCTCCAGCCCTCGGATCATCTTCGTGGCCCTCCTCTGGACTTGCTCCAACAGCTCCATATCTTTCTCATGTTGAGGGCTCCAGAGCTGGATGCAATATTCCAGGTGGGGTCTCATAAGAGCGGAGCAGAGGGGCAGAATCACCTCCCTTGACCTGCTGGCCACGCTTCTTTTGATGCAGCCCAGGATACAGTTGGCCTTCTGGGCTGTGAGCGCACATTGCCAGCTCATGTTGAGCTTCTCATCCACTAATATCCCCAAGTCCTTGCCACCAGGGCTGTTCTCAATTCATTCTCCAGTGAGCCTGTATTTGAGCTTGGGATTTCCCTGACCCACCTGTGGGACCTTGCACTTGGCCTTGCTAAACTTCATGATGGCATCCCTTATATATACACACCCCATAAAGATAGAACCTAAAGTTCCAGTACCTAAAGGGGGAGAGATGGGGAAGGACTTTTTACTCGGACAAGGGGGAATGGCTATAAACTGGAAGAAGGCAGGTTTAGATTAAACATTAGGAAGAAGCTTTTCACTTTCAGGGTGGTAAGGCACTGGCACAGGTTGCCCAGAGAGGTTGTTGAGGCCCCATCCCTGGAGGTGTTCAAGGCCAGGCTGGACGTGGCCTTGGGCAACCTGATCTAGTGGGAGGTGTCCCTGTCTATGGCAGGGGGGTTGGAACTCGATGATCTTCAAGGTCCCTTCCACCCTAAACCATTCTATGATTCTAAGAAGCATTTCTCTAAGTCTGAACTTTAATATAAGGGACATCAAGGAGATCTTTAGGGCAGAACTATTGTACTGCTGTATCTAATTCAGAGACAGCAATGCACATCCACAAATGTCCTTTTTTAAAATCCCTTTCCCTACCCATATGACAGAATTAAGTGCAGTGATGGACATAAAATTACCTAGAAGGGGACAATTCTCAGACCAATATGCAGATTAAGATATTCTGAACTCAAGTCAGGTACAGATTTTTAGTATTTTGTGTCGAGTAACGGAAAGGCCAGGAAAAAAAAAACAGCAAACAAACCCAGTTAAGCATATTTGCAACCATGCAAGTAGTATCTTTATGCATTTTACAGTAAACAGTCCTTGCTAATTATCAACCTGCCAAAAACAATGTTAATTTGCCCTTTCTTGCTTTTTTCCTGTTTCTAATTAAAGGTAATTTTATATTTCATATGTGTAAACTCACAACGGATAAACTGCATTAGTCCACTGCCATGGCCATTTGAAACCTGAAGATGCATTTCTTTCAGGTCAGAAAACAGGTTTTGAAGATGTGAGGATTCTGCATCATTCAAGAATAAATTTCAAAATATACCTGGGCTCAATGTATGATGGCAACAGCCTTCCAGAAATTCAAGCTAGTATGTTACTGTAACACATGAAGGCCGTCATCTATCTACAGAGGCTTCTCACAGAAGAGCAGGTCAGTTTTAAGGTTTCTTGTCCTTTTTATTCCTTGGGACAAGGCCAGTACAGTTCAGGCTCACACCAGATCCCAGGATGAATTCCATGGAGGACTATCCTTCCCTCTAACCAAAAATATGAAGTTTCCTAATCAGATTTGTCTGTGTAGGAGATAAGTCTTCCTGAAGGGCTTAACCAAAACTTGGAAATACCGCTTACTTCCTTAGGGAGTTTAATAACAAAACAACACTATTATTCTCCGTGTGCAAGACCCCCTTTTTTTTTTTAAATTGGTTTTCACCAATATATACAAAGCACTGTGTACCTTGAGACAGAAACTCTTCTCCCGCTCTCACAGTAGCACACACAACAGTAACACAGACAATACTTCATGCAGCAGGAGAAAAAGCTTAAGAGCAACAGATGTTATTTACATAAACCTAAATTATATGAATCACAACAGATCTCACTGGCAAGATGGAGAGCATGTTCTTGCACCATCTCCACTGAACTTTACTGATTTTAAGAATTACAGTGAGGACAGAGTATATGAATGACAGAAAAGTCTCCTGGAAAAGGCAGAAAATGAAACAAACTTAAGCTAAGCTGATGGAATATCAATAACCAGAAAAGTTACATACAATGACAGTACATCTTCAGGGATGAAGAACCCAAGTGTGAGATATCAACAACATTAAGATGTTTAAAAGAACATAGGAAGGGATTTATAATTGCAGCAAAGGTTTAAAAAGATTTTAAGTTTTCAGTATCTAAAATTACGGCTTCTAATCTAAAATTTAAGCCTGCCCTACTCCAAAATCATGCCAGTTGTATCATGATGTGAACTTCTCACCTTATGAGCAGGTTTGAAACTGTATTGGTGGCAAAAACCGTTGAAGTTAAGACTTACATTGAAAGAATCAAGATGAGTTTTATGGGATTTTCCAGGAGTATAATAATGCACCATTAAAGAGAAGGACGAGCACGTTGCTATACTTCATGAGCACTGATAGTAAGCATCCTAAAGTTAGGTTAAAATTTTTAGGTAATGCAGAAAAGTAGTGATTAACTCTGATAGAATACATATTTCTTCTCTTTTATGGTAGGGGATACCGAGTTGATATCAGTTTAGAATGCCGACAAAACACAGTCCAATGAAGAACTACAAAATTAACTACTCCAACTTAAGATCAACTACGTGATACTGCTGAAAGTTAGTAGATTTTTAGTCCATTGATTAAAAGTTTATGTGGCTTGGAGATCTGACTGTTCTACCATTTTCATCTTTTCTTTCCAGCATGCTAAGGAAAAAATACAGATACGAGTTCTCATGCTGCAGCAGTTTCTCCAAAGTTGTAACAGTTAGTATGAAGCATTCACAAGCTGTAATTAGAACAGTATTTCCAACAAAACAAACACTTCAACTCAGAGGGATTAAGGAAAAAATTATATGAAAAAGACTAGTCTATACTGTAAAATTCTAAATCTTGAATTAAAAAAGACCCACTTCAAAATAATACAGCATTTAAAATGAAACATGCCACTACTTGCAGACCTAACATTAACAGAGTAAAAATAATGTTAAATTAAATACCTGATGTGGAGGGAAGGGGTGAATGGAGAAACCTTGAAATGAACCTCAAGGTGTAGTCCTAAATGTGCCTCACAGTTCATTTGATCTCATAGCAAGCTATTCACAAATTCTTCTGAGTCAGTAATTTGAAATGACTGTTAGTCAACAGATTATGCGGAGGCAAACATGTTACGACTTTGAATAAAAAACCTTCCTACAAGTCTGAACAGACTACTTCCTCCCACAGGAGACAGCTTTTAATCCTCAACTTTTACTAGACTTGCCATTTAAGGAAAGATTCATTTACAGCTGTGGTTTTTGGCACAGACAGATGTTCAAAATAAACTATTACATGTACTAAACAGAATTTTAAATCAATTTTTTTCCCCTCTAGCAGCTACTCCTACAAACCTGTTAAGAAAGGGATCAGAACTATTTGTAGTCATTGTTCTCAGTTCCTGAGACATTCCAGGAGATGACACAGGATTTTGAGATCCACCGTCTTGTTCCATTGTTGGAAGCTGGCTACGGAGAGCCAATTCCTAGAACAGGGGGAAGGGCAGAAAGAAAGATCACATTAGGCATTTGAATACACTTTTCAGATGCATAAACATATGACCTTATAGGTAATCAGTGCTTTACTGTTTCCAGTTACAAGATTTAGATGAAATTAAGTTTCTGAAGACAAAGCAAGAATTTTTACTGGCCTCAGTGATAATGAAAGTTCCACCAGTCAAGTGCAGCATTACAGAGACTTCACTGCAAACATGTTTATGGATACAAATATCTGCATCTCTCTCAGTATCTTTTGCTAAGTCTATTCTTAAGATCCAAACAAAAAAGAAAAAATGTTAACACTGTCTATCTGACCCCTAAGATACATCTGTCTAGCTCTGCTGACTTGCATTTTTTCCCCCCATTTCTCTTAAGTTCTGATTTAGTCCCTGGTTTCCCTTTTACCTTGCTTATTTCCTTCAGAGAAGTTTAAAGCGTTTCCCTACCAAGTTTCCATTCACTCCTCCTGTTTGAGGCATGCATTTTGAAATTTCTGATTGATCATAACAGTGATTTGTCCCATACGTAAGCTCTTCAAATCCCTAGCAATCTCTTAGTAAAACAAAGACACTGCACTTCTGAAGTTAGACACCTAGATTAGCTATATACTTTTACACATCTGACTGTGCGCCAACTTGAATCAATCCATTCCCAAAGGCTGTCATTACTATTTAATGAAAGTCAGTTTTAACATAAAATACACAAAATTAAAGGTGGGTTGAGATAAGTTGCATTTGATGTAATTTCCAGTGCCCCCCCCATCCCTTTTTAAACAGGTAATCCATGAATTACACATGTGAAAAATACAATAATTTTCTTCAAGGAGCTCTCCTAAACATCATCAACGGCTCACCAAGTCTGTGCTTTGTTAACGTAGAGACGGGTAGAGAAATTTATTGACTATCTTGTTACCATTATTAGTAGTATGTGATTTCCAGGCTGTGTCTGGGAAGCTAATCTCAGGCAAAAGCAATCTTGTCAGTCTTGACAATACTCAGTATTTCTCACTTGTAAAAGGAGAGGTCGTAATCCCTTCTCAATTATAGCCTGAAGACTACTGTAGACTTTTAATATATAAAAATATTTTTTCTCCAATTCTTCTTCAAAGTGATTTCTTTTTTAAAAAGTCTAAGGTTATTTTATTTTCCAGCAGATTGTACCAAATATTGAATGTTTACCTACCACCTGGGATTTTTTCCTTTTCTAATGTGCATATGCTTCACTCCCATTCCTGTGGATTATTATTCTACATATTCCTTTAATACCAAGTTTCATGTCTTGTACTAGAAGGTTTTCTCACTCCAGTTGATTAAACCTTGGCAGAAAGCGTACAAACATACCATTGGTTTTTGTGTTCGTCACATCCAATTGCCTACTCCAAGGAAATCCAGTCCTCTGCTCACCACCACTTACTTGGCCACTGTTCTAATAAATAGTAATAATACACCTTCTCCTCATTTTCAGATCACAGGATGTTAGGCACTTTTTAATCATTTCTATAGGCTTATCCATATGATTTTCATTTGCTTATGTAATAAAACCAAGCACAAAGACTATATAGTGAGGTCTTACTTCACAGCTAACTTTATAAACTTCTATCAGTCACATCAGCCTTGACACAAGAAGGTTGAGATACAGGTGGACTCAATTCATTAAAAAAAAAAAAAAAAAAAAAAAAGAAGAAAAGGTTTTCTTTCCTGAAATGCTTCCCAAATGGTGATCTGAAGAAGGCAGAAGGTCTTAGAGCAGCCATCCCAGAGATGGCTCACAAACTGCTCCCTCACATCACAGTCCTTATGCCCTTCCTCTGGAGACCAGAATTCTCCCAAATGTCACCTGAGCCTTCCCTTCTCTGAGAAAATGCCTTCATGTGATGTAGCTACTTTTAACTAACAAACAAACAAACTCGATTTTGCACCACTGCCTCTAGAATCTTTTCAGCCTTGGGTTCATACCTGCAGTACAGCACACGTTCCTTCCTTCTCCACTGTGACAGCAGAGTTGTCAATCAGTGAGCGTAGCTCTTACGTAGCTACAACTACCTGGCCCTGGCAAGAATGCTCTGTCCTTTTCCCCTTCCATCTTGCTTTGATCTATGCATTGCATTTTTATTTCCTTGGGCTGCAGTCCCTGAGTAGGATGAAGAGGCGGCGCCAAAAGCGCAGCAGCCTGCGGAAGAAGCTTAATCACACACCAGTGTCCCAAAGAGTGATGACAAAGCAAAACCAGCAGAGTCATTTCCGTACACAAAGCACTAAAATGACATTACATCTCATTGTGTGGTAGGCCTGGTCTTTATCAGCACTGCCTCCTGATGCAATAGTTTAAAACCAAACTAAACCAAACCAACCAAACAAAAAAAAACAAAGAAAAACCCAACCACACAAAACAAAAACACGCAGAAAAAAAAAGGCAAAACACCCAACACCACGAAAAAACAAACCCGACAGAAAGAAGAAAAATTCATGGAGGTCCCCATTTCAAGAGCTACTGACATCAGGAAAGAAAAAACCCACAAATTTCTTTTCTGTATCTTAAGAAATAAAGTCATTACAAAGGAATAAGCAATTTGGAAAAATGGGAAAGTAACCTTTGTATTTTCTAAATCCTTAAAAGGCAGGAGAGATTGAAGTTTCATCAATATATGAACTTAAAAAGTATGGTAAAAATTAATGCAGCTCAGACACTAGCCAGCTAGAAAAGAAAAATCCCATTTCACTGAAGGCCCACTAAAAAGAGATGTAGTAGAACAGGGGAGAGAACTATATTTTGCCTATTCTTTGGCACGTAAAACGTAGTGAAATAAGTATTTTAAATATTAGTACTACTTTTGTCCTTGTTTCAACAACAACAGGGCTGAAAGTGCAAAGCTACAATTACTTTTCACTATTTATAAGTATCATTACTGCTACTTATTCAGGAGGCAGAACTGCAGCACTTCCCCCTATAAAGAATTTTATTCCATTACGCATTCAAGTAATAAATTTATGTCAATCTGGGAGTCTGAAAGAGAAAGGAATTACCAAAAAAGACGAGCTATTCAGAAACAAACACAAAGCAGTTTTTAATGATTCTGTAAGATAAGAAAAGTTTTCTACAAACCCCAAAGAGTGTATTAAGACTCCTTTTCCTAAAAGGTGCATGTAATGGAAGCTAAAGTTGTGTTGCCTGAAGAATGGTCTTTTTATAAATTTATGAAACCGATTTTCAATTAACAAAGTTATGGTTTTGATACTCAAAAAAATGTATGGGAATGTACAAGCCTATCCCAGTTCCAAACAGAGCAATGTGAACTCCAGGCTTTTAGTTCATGCTTTAAAATATATCCTTTATTAGAAGTACTTAAAGTCTGGAGGCAAAAATAAAACCATGACAAAATCCTGGCTTAGATTTCTATAACTTGATCTCATCTTATTTCTCTAAGTATGACAAAATTTTTTTTTAAGTACCTCTGGGAAAATAAAAGCTTAGCATTCCTCTTGTTAACACAAGAGCTGAATTTTGGTTATTACATAAAGACCAAAATGATCTGTCATCTCCTTAAGCAAATTAATTTTAAAAACAAGGTCAGCATTGTATAATTTATCTGGCTGACCTGATCCATTTTTTGTTCATAAATTGCATACAGATTAAGTTTTACATGAAGTTGCAGGTCATTCACACAATGTCCAAATTAACTTTATAAAATTACTCTTTCCAGCGCATTTTTATTTTTATCTTCATTGTGCTTTTGAGGAAAGGTAAAAGGCTCCCTTCGTGCAACTCCCAGATCATATTCCTCCTGTATTAAACATATGATATGCTACTCAACTTGAATTGATATATCCTTATAATTGGGGTTTTTTGGTAAATTTACTTTAAAAGGGCCAACTGTAATATTTCTGCCCTCAAACACTGCTCAACTATCCAACGATCCACAGGCTTCATTGGGATGGGAGAGAAGCGTTAGGGGAAGGAGAAGACAGTGACGCTTATGGGCAGACTTACAGCACCAGTTATTTCTTCAGACTAAGTATTTCCGTTCTTGTTTGAGGGCCACAAAGTTACAGCACACGTACAAAAGAAACAGGGAAAACACATGGACAGATGAAGACAAATGAATTCAGTAATGAAGAGTTATGCAATTAGTGAAGAGTAAGGGGGAAACATAAATCATTCAGTGTTGCAATCGTGAAAAACAGAAAAATTAATTTAAGAGGTGATACTGATAGAGTGATAATTAATTGTATCGTATACACTTGGCAAAGAACTCAATGCTACGTAGAGCATTGTAAGCACAGATAAGGCACCATAAATTGGAATAGACATTTGTAAATAAAGTCTGGCTTCTTGTCTGGTTTTACAGCCTTTTTGCTGTGCCACTGCTTCACACTCCTCCTGCTGTCCATCTGCCCGTGGCTCCAGGACTGCCCCTGCCCAGCTGAGCCATGCCAGGGCACCAGTAAGGCAGGTAGGTCTCAGCAGGAGCCAGCAGTCACAAAGGCCATGCAGAACAAACAAATTTTTGTTTGCTTCTAGCAAAAGCTGTTATTCATGGCCATCTCGTACTCAGGTCAACATGGCTCCTATCTTCTGCTGACCGATCGCTTTAGCAGCACTTCTGTGATTAAGTTTTGCAACTGCAAGCAGCACCAGTGGCTCCAGGAAACCCATTCCAGTGAACTACAACTCCTATACAGACACAAAGTGATTCCTGAAGCAAGTAGGGGCATAAAAAACAGACAACGGCAATGAGTGCAGAGATGATTTACTCTATAGACTTTCAGACAGGGTATTTATCCATAAAGATCTACATTTACAAGCAAGCAATAAAATTATTTTGGTAACCTGTAAAACTTAGGTACTGCAAGTGGAATCAGAGCTTCTGAATTTTCAAGTTAGTCATGTAATACAAGTATCTTTCCTACTGTGTAACTTCTAGCTATTGATGCTTCCCAGAGAGTGAGAAACTCAAATTGTACAGCTCTTGCCACACAAACAAAGTTTC